TAAATAGCCAGCACGGCACCACTACAACACCATGTACACTTTGTGGCGAGTGTGTTAGCAGGGTGCTTACGCACGCACATGGCCCAACAGCCACCTGGGTTCAAACCCCAGCAGCAGCAGTTGCATCCCGGATCTTGATAATATAAATCCGGGAGCGGGGCGGGGCGGGGCAGAGTGGCGCGTGGCGCGCGCGCGCGTGCGGCGGCCTTGGCCTTGGCGCGCACGCGTCGTGATGCGGCTTCCTTTTTCGCCACGTGGAGCGCTCCTGCGCGCATCGTGATGCGGCTTCCTTTTTCGCCACGTGGAGCTCTCCTACTGCAGCACCTTTTTTCGTTGTTTTTCCCGCTTTTTCGCCCGAAAACGCCCCAAAAACAGTCGAAAACCCGACTGTCCAGTTTTGCCGTATTTCCCTGCTGTGCGGTGTGGTGGGTGGGGGCGGGGACCGTTCCCGCTCCGATACCAATGTAGCGGACCCACCAGGTGTGGTGCTCCGCTAGTGACAGAGATGGAGATAAAAGAAGAAGGAGGGAGCAAGGTGCACAACGCAGCTCCCCACGCAAGACTCCAACGCATGTACTCCAAAATGTGCAAGTGAAGAATGAGGGTGAAACAGACAATGGTTGGGGTATACCCCAGCGGACTAACGGGACTGGACTGGACTGGCTGGTACCGACAGAGGTACCGGCCTGGACTGGCCTACCCCGAATACAACACAGGCCTGTGAGAACAGGCCAAGGGGCTGGTCTCACAGGCCAACCCGAGGTCCGCTACAGCATGCCGCGAAGTCTCTGTTATATACGACCAGAGCCCTAACCGCTTGAAATTCGTCTTCTGATGAATCGTCCTCATTCGATTTAAATTCCCTTTTCCTTTTTTCTCGTTGCAAGACCCTATCCTCTTCCATGTCAACAACTGCGAGCGGCCCTGCTGCTGAACATACAGGACCTGGTGTATCTTTTGCCTTCCCATCGCATCTTCCTGCGTTTCCATTCACAGACGGTTCCTTTTCTGACGGGGGGGGGGGAGTTTCCACCACTACCAATCCTATCTCCACCACTAACCCTTCCACCTGGAAATCCGCCTCTTTCTATCTTCCGTTCCACCTTGCCTCCACTCTTATCTCACTCCCCTTTTCCCTTTGTGAGCCCGTCTTTAACCGTTGGGGTGTCCTCTTCCTCAACCCCCCTGTGATTTTCCCCCCGCCACCATTGCCTTCCCCTCGCCCTTCCTGTCCCCTTCCCCCTCCTGCCCCACTTGAATCTTTTTTTTCTCCCCTTCCACCGTTATTCCCTCCTCCACTTGCCCCATTATCCCCTCTCCCTCCTCCCCCCACTCTCTTCGAACCTCTGTGACGCCCAACCTCACGCCCAGCGCGACTTCTTGATTGGAGTGGAGTGTGGGCCTGGAAGTGCGAAAAGGGGTGTGCCAAGGATTTTTGGGAGAAAGGGGGGAGTCTTAAGGGTATGAATGCAATTAACCGAACGAGGGGTGCACGCGCAAGGGTCTCACAGTCCGAAGGGGCCGGGACACAATGGGCGATGGGTTACGGGAAAATTCCTCCGTGGTGGAGATGGTCCTGAAAAGTTAGGCCGTCGGGGGCTGACACGTGGTGCAGGCCGCCACGTACCTGGGTTGGGCCTTTCGAATTCCAGAGTTCTCTGTGCGCCGCTGCGTCGGCAGTTCACGCAAAACGTATTGGGCCAATAGAGGCTATGGCCGGCCACGGAACGACACTATGTTGATGATACGGGAGAAGGAGGCGGAAAGGAGGGAAACTGGTAGTGATCTCAAGGAATCCCGGGTGGGTGAAGTAGTAGGTGTGGTCGGGAGAAGGAAAATCGGAGCGCCGAAGGTCGCTAGAGGTGGCACAGTGGAATTCCCGCAGACATAGACGATTCTCTGTGTGACAGGGGTATCGTGTCCTTATGAGCTCGTTTATTATAGGGGTGAAATAGTCCGGGTCATAGAACGAGTCTGAGCCCCAAGATCGCGTCATGGTATCATCGTCGATGGGATAGCGCGGGTCGGGATATCGTCACCGCGCATGAGCACGTGTAGGACAGGCAGACTCAGTGGCGCCTCAGCGTGCTCGTACGGGATGATGGTTCCGCCGCGATTCCCTTTTGGGGGAGCGAATCGACGCATAGGAATGCCTGTCAGGGCGCGACTCGGATCGCGTTTACAAGTGTTCTCGCGTGGCGTTCGTGGGACCAGACTTCGGATCGTCGATTATGCAAGATGCAATCATATCGCAACCCCCATCGCGGGATAAGCACAAACGAGAACAAAATCACTATGGGGGCCAGATTCTTATCCCATCTACAGCGACATCAGGTGCAGGCGAAGATTCGACACAGACATAACGCAAGGACAAGGATCCTCAGCAAAAAGATAGACAAGCCGTCATAACATCCATACATCCATACATTCGGCAATCATACACATAATGCAAGCAGGACGGACATCGCAAGGACAAATGTGAGCAAAAACCCAAGCCCAGATTTTAGAAAGCCGAAACGAAAATAAGAACGGGCAAACCGCCTGGAGCCGCAATCAAAATGTATGTACACAGATGAAGAGGGGGAAGAGACAGGAAACCAGCAAATCCGCGTCCATCGACCTCAACTCTCTCCTCTCGCTCTTTCTCTCTGATGCGGACAGTCCGTCGTCACGCACCAACCCACAAAGTTGTCACCCCACTTAGTCCTCCCGCACCCGTCGGATTCGCCCGTGCCCACAGTCCGTCGTGGCCCACGTCAATCCCGTGCATTCGGCACCAGCCCGTCGGGTCGCCCAAATCCTGCTCTACTCACCTCTTACTTCGCTCGTGTGCCAACCCGTCCTGATCGCGCAACCCCGAGCTTCCAACAACGGGTTAAGAGAGATGACTAATCGCGCAACCGAAATTTATATCGTGCATGCATGCGCGAAGAACACGGAATTACTAGGATTTAGAGTGAGGATTCGAGAGGGAACGCCTGCGTTCTGCATGATCGGCCGTGGCGTGGGGGACGTAACCCTTCTCCACGCATCGATCGGAGCATGCAAGCCGCGTCCTACGAAAATTTCCGCAAAAGATAGAGAGGGAGGGCGGGAGAGAGGAAGTGCAAGAAGAAAGATACAGTTAGAATGGCGCCCGCCCAAAATTACAGTTACACACACGATTAAGGGCGCCCACTAATCAGAGTACCGTTGCAGCCGCATGAAGAAGCGTGTAGACAAAAAGGCGCCGCGCGGCAGAAAAAGTCCTTATTACTGAATTCCTAAATTCCTATATAATGCAAAAAAGCAAAAAGCACAAGTTCCAGAAGGAAAGTCCAAAATTCTGAGAGTCATCGGGGGATCGACAAAATCCGAAAAAGATTTTAAAAGGACATTAAAAAAGAACGAAGCAATTTCCCGCGCGATGTCCSCGCCCTAAAAGATCGAAATCGAACCGAAAGAAACGACGTCAACATTTATTAATCGTGCACGCCCGTAGCGACGCGTCGGACATCCATCCGACCAACCAATCAGCCGACCGTCCCAAAACACACCCAACTCCAAACCCAGTCATTTGACAAGAAGCGACGAAAAAGATGAAAAAGCAAGGGTACTGATGCAATTTTTCCGTCGATCCGATTTCCCGTAATTGGCCCAATCTTCCCAGCTTAGGACCCCTTGTTCCAACCGCGCAGAAAAATCGTGCGTCAAAGAAAATGGTTCGTCACATATATGACCCCCAGGGGGTTCCAATATTTGCAAGCTCCTGCTTGCTTGTTGACACGTGTCGATTTCTCTACTTGATCGACACGCGGAGCACTTTCTTCTATGACAATTACCGTTTAATTGCGTGTGGACGTCATCCAACGTGGCAACACCGCTCTTCTACTAATTCCTCAGATTGGGCTCTCGACGACTCAAGGACGGGATCTTTCTCGTGCCGTCGCTGCGACACACGTCCATTACCGGTTGCATCAGTAATTAATCGGGAGGGGGAAAGGGAGTCGGTGCATGGCAGCATGGCGGGGTGGAGGGTTTATGGGTAGCGGGGGAAGAAGGCTTTCCATTCCGGCTACAGTCTCCGGAAGCTCTGGGTAGCGAACGATGTGGTGAAAGCGGGGGAAGCGATTGCGAGTGCGAGGGAGGGATGCGAGATAATCAGGATAGAGGGTGGTGAGACTCCGAAAAAGTGCCGCGCGGAAACGATCCCGATCTTCGCATGCGGGGATGGTCCCCGTTATCACGCAGTAAACCTCGATTATGTTGTGACCTCGCCACGCGGCACCAAGGAGCAGGACATGGAGGCAGAAGGATGGGACGGCGCATCGAATGGAGGGGTGGGGCGAGGCGAGCAGCGTAGAAGTGGCGGAAGGTGTCGCGGGGAAACGGATTGGAGGGGAACGTAATGGGAGCAGTGAGCTGGCGGAGGGTGAGGTAGTCAAGAGGACGGCGAGAGAGTGATCGGGGACGAAGGCCAATCGCCCTTATCGGTACGTCGGCGAACTAGGGGACGGGTTGAGGAGGAGGGGGATCGGCTCCGTCGCCGCGCTGATGGGGTCGGAGTCGTGGCTGTGAGGTCGCCATCTTCAGGCCGGGGCGGCTCCGGATCCCGGCTTGGGTCGCCGTGGGTGCGCAGACTCGCCTCGCTTGCGAATTCCAACTCCTTCTTCCCGGCCGCGATCTCTTCTCTTTTGCAGGCCGCCTCGGGATCCTCAGACTCCGTACCCGTACGCAGCGCTTCTTCTGGCACGGCTTCCCACTCCGATCCCACAGGCTCTTCGTCGTGCTCCTCTTCTCCTTCCTCGCTTTCTTCTTCTTCTTTGCTCTATTCCCCCTCGCTATGCTCGCTATAGCTTCCTTCATCGGGGGTTTCGTCTTCTTCCCCGAGCTCTTCGTCGTTGTTCCGGCCTTCTTCCAGTCTGTCGTCGTCTTCGTCACTCCCGGTACTCTCTACCTCCTCCTCTTCTTCTCGAATGGCAAGCTGCTCTGCCGTAGGATGCCTGAAGAAGGCAGGATCGCGAGCCGCCGGGGATCCAGATATTGTTGCTGCGACGGCGGGATGCGCTCTGCGGCTCCCTCTACACAAGCCGACCACTGAAGATAGGGCGTCAATGCGCGAGAGAGCACATGGGGAATTGGATGCTCGTCGTCTTGCGAGATGATGTCGAGGGGGAGATCGTCCGCCAGCTGCGCTACCGGGATCGTGAGCTCTTGCATGATGAGTTTCTGATGACCGGGCCGCACTGTACCGAATAGAAATGTGAGGAGCTCTCCCTCCACGTTGGTTCGCCAGGCGTGGATGAACAGCAACTCTAGGCGCTCTATGCAAGGCAGGTGCGCTTCGTCCTCGATCCACGTCAGCCGTACCTCAACCAAGCACAATGAAAGCTCGATGAAGTCTTCGCGCCACAGGACCCAATGGGGAGGATGGATATCGGGGACAGCAAGGGGCTTTAGACAGTAGGAAAGGCGAGGATGGATATCGGACTGCCAGAAGGTGGGGAAGGTGGAGGGAAGATCAAAAACGGAGATCGGAGAGAGACTCATCGGGGATGGGGGAAGGGTACGAGGATAGGGAGCTCTGCCGGTGGATCGCGCTGGTACATCCGAAGGCCGTCGTCTTCGATTGCTCGTGATGTTGCGATTGTATCCTTGGGGCGAGCCAGCAGCTGAGTCCACTCGACGACCAGATCGTTCGCCCACATGCGCAGCGACGCCTTCACCGCCGAATGTCGCAAAGGAGAAAGTGTGGAGACATCGCCACTAAAGTTGATGACGACCGATATGCGACTGACACCTGGCACCGGCCGCTGATGAACTGCTACCGCCTCGGCCAGTACCACCGCGTCAGTACGGCCTTCAATTCTGAACACCGCCGCTGCATACACGCCTTCCGTGCAGAAGAAGTGCGCAAGCCGCCGAAGATCTGGACTGAGGCGGGGATGATGGACTTGCCGGATCGTCAACCGATCACGGGGCGCAAGCGATGCTTCGCTGAGGGTTTTCTCCTCCAAAAAGCTCATGGCGATGGCGAAGGTGACGGGGAGAGAGGGAGGGAGCAAGATGAAGAGGGAGATGGCGGAGAGTCAGAGCCGTCGTCTTCGGCTTCCTCAGAATGAGAGATCGAGGGAGAAGGGGACGGAGCAGAGGCGAGGAGGCGAAGATAGGACACATGGCGGGTGATCGGGCGAGCCGATCGATTGCCAGAGACTTCAGGGGCGAGACGCACGGTGTCCACGCCGTTGGGGCCGAGCTCAATCACGCGATATCGCCCGAAGAATCGTGGCGCTAGCTTACCCTGGCGAGCACATTTCCTCACCTGCACCACGTCCCCCAATTTGTACTCGGGCCGCGGACCCGCATTCCCATTTCGGGCCTCGTAGCTCCGGACCTATCGGCCCTAGGCTAGTTCGGTCATTTTCTATCGCTTTCGGGCTAGCCTGGGCAACGACCGTTCCATTAACTCTAGGTGTCGTCTGGCCTTGTCCCGAGCCGTAGCCCTGGTGGGCCGTCGGTTCAACGTAGACTCATCCGGGAGGCTTGGTATCGAAACGCAAGCGACACTATTGGTCCTTAATTGGAAGGGGCTCAGCCCCGTCAATTTGTGGGGCGTTACGCGATGGACCGCGAGGATGTGATCGACGACATCGGGCCAAGGTCTCGGATCCCGTGCCGCGATGTTTCGTCGCAACGCTGTCTTTATCACCCGGTTAGCGTTTTCGACCAGCCCATTGGATTGTGACATGTGGGGTGCAGTGTTCCGTATGGCAACGCCATGTAGGACCAGATTCCTTAACACTTCTCCTATGAATTCAGCCCCATTGTCGGTCAGGATTTCTTCCGTATCCTGATGCATCCCGAGGAAACGGTTGACATATCGTGCAATTTCTGTGGCTTGCCACGTGCGACAAGGATACGCTTCGATCCATTTCAAGAAATGGTCGACAAATACCAATAGGACTGAATATTCGCAACTATTAGGGCCAGGGGGCACCACTATATTGGTAGTGTCCATGCTTACTCTCTGAAATGGTCGTTCAACAACCGTGGGCACTATCGACCTTGGCGGCTGAATCGGCGCTTTATCAGCGGCGCAGACTTGACAGGTGGCGACGATGTACTTGACATCGTCGCGGATATTGGACCAGTACCACTCATTTTTGTCGATGGCGGACTCCGTGATTCGTACAGCAAAATGAGTCGCAGTTTCCTCGTGGGTTGTCTTAACCCAGTCATACCGCATGAACAGATGCGGCACCACTATCCAAACCCCACTGCCGTCCGTTTTTCGTTTTTCTAATCTACCCTCTATCCATCGATAATCCCGAGCCCTTTCGTTGGCCCTCCTCCGATCTTCCTTGGTGAAATCCTGGAGGGGGTTACCTACTAGGGTGGCAATTAAGGCAATATCCGTCCATACTTCGGCCCTTCTAAACTTTTGGGTCTTTTCCAATCCTTCTGACGTGGCATCCAAAAAGCGAGCCTCGGTCGGAATTTTGTCGGTCCGGCACAAGGGGCACAACCATGGTTTACTATCGTTCCTGTATTGGATGCACGAGCCATGGGCCCGTGCAACATACTGTCGGCAATCTATCCAATCCGCATATCCCATCCCGTTAGGACGCATGGAGACTGAATAAACGCGGGAGATGGCTTCGCAAAAATAACAAAATTTGTCAGGCAGGGCGAGGAGAGACGAGGAGGAAGGGGGAGAAAAAGGGGTAGTGGGGTTACCTCCATCACCCATCGCCACCGGTTTGCTTCTTGCCACGTGGGAGAACTGCCACTTGTCCGTACTTCGGCTCGTTAGTCAGGTCCGGCTCTTTCCACGGTGTAATTTCCTCGCCCTTTGGTACCTTGGCAGGTCGATGCGGACGTGTAAGCCCGTCCGCGTTGTCGTGTCGCTCTGTCTTTCGATGGACGATATCGAAGTCGTATTCTTGTAGTCGCACCGCCCAACGGCCAATCATGCCTGTGTAGTTGGTGAGTTTCTTCTGCGCTAGCAGAGGCTCGTGATCCGTTACGAGGCGAAACTTCTGTCCATAGAGATACGGATGGAAGTGTTGGATTCCCCAAACTACCGCATAACACTCACCCTGAGGTGCGGAGTCGTTTCTTCGTTCGTCCGGTACGGTTCGTGACTCATACTCGATGAGGTGTTCTCGACCATCGTTCCCCTTCTGCGCTAGAATAGCGGAAATAGCTTCCGGTTGCCAGTCCGTGATGAGAATGAACTGCTTCGAGGGGTCCGGTCGAATCAAAATAGGGGCCGTTGCCAGAGCGTCCTTGAGGGTTGCAAAGGTCTGCTAGCACTCCGCGTCCCAGCTGAGAGGCTGGTCCTTCTGTAGCAGATTCGTTAGTGGTCGTGCAATCGCGGCAAAGCCCTTGATGAAGCGCCGGTAGTACGACGCGAGTCCCAAGAAGGCTCGAATCTGCGTCAGTGACGTAGGAACCGGAGCTTCCTTCACCACCGCAACTTTTCTCGAATCTGGCCGCAATCCTCCACGTGTCACGACATAGCCCAAGAACGAAATTTCCGGGAGGAAAAATTCGCTCTTCTCAAGCGCAATCTTGAACCCAGCGTCTCCCAATGCACCCAATGTCCATTCGATGTGTTGTGCGTGCCCGTGATAGGTTTCCGAATAGACCAGGATGTCGTCCATGTACACGATCACGCAGAAGTTAATCATTCCTTGCGTCAGCCGTGTCTTGCTGACGAAGTTCTGAAACGCCATGTTCATCGCTCGCTGAAACGTGGCAGGCGTATTAATCCCCATGGACACCGAACCCACTGCCACGTGCCCTCAAACAACACAAAGGCCGTTTTCGGCCGGTCTTCTTCCTTTACCAAAATATGATGGAAGCCATGCGGAATATCAAACTTGCTGAAATATGTAGCGCATCCAATTGCATCCAACAGATCATCAATCTGGGGGATGGGATACACATCTTTGATCGTGATTTCATTCAGCTTGCGATAATCAATGCAAATGTGAATCGCTCCGTTCTTCTTCGGTAATAACACTACGGGAAAGGACCAGGGTCCAGTGGCGGGTTCAATCCAACCGCTGGCTTTGAACTCCCAAATTCGTTCGAGAGCCTTTTTGCGTTCAATCAAAGAATAGCGATAAGGTTTGCAATGAATCGGGGAGTGATTTCCGGTCTGAATTTCGTGTTGGATTACTACCGACAACCCAATGTCAGTGTCTGACACACTAATCGCTCCTTGATATTCCGTAAGAATATCCACAATTACCCGGTGGAATTCATCCGGCACATATTGTAGAACGTGCAGTTCAAAGAGTTGGTCCCAGATCCGAACGTCAATCTGTTTCGTGGTGCCTGCTTTGTCAAGTCGGGTGGAGGCGCCGAGATGAATGAATGATCCGATCGCCAGGAGAACACCGTGACCATCATCTGAGTATCTTTTTCTCGGACCACGTGTTCTTCCGGGGTAATCCCGTCACAAACATCCTGCCATGGCACTTCCTTAGTTGCGATCTTTATCCCCAGTCCGTCTGTTTCCGCTTCAAAACGCCCAGGGGGTTCCAGAGAGCTTGCTTCCGCCCCTAAGCGTAACAATCTCACTTCTTTAACCGAGGTTAGTTAGGACTTGGGTAGATCCGTAATGTCACAGTAATGCTTCTTGTCGCTGTACCAGGCGAGGAGAGGGGCGATTCCTTCGTACACAGTTTGAGGGGGTTCCAAAGAATCGACCATCCGCGAAATCTGCACGAGGGGCTCACCCAAGATCATCGCCTTGGTCCTTTGAATTTTTCGGCTGGTTAGTTGCATCGTTCTCGCTATCATTTTGGGTGGCGGTTAACAAACATGTTGTCGTGCTAATTTCAAGATCTCCGGATCATCCTCGTCACTGCTTTCCGCATCATCTGTTGATGACTCTCCTTCTGCGGATTTCTTCCAGGAGATCATGCGGAGAGTCCCTGCCATCATCGGCGAAACCCGTGGAGCCACGTTAATAGTAGTGCGAAGGGTCAATCGCATGGGCACAACGTAGGGTTTTCCTCCTGTATTCCGGAGGACGATCGATCGTCGTTCCAAGTCCAGGTTTGCTCGTAACGCCACAAGAGCGGGAAGCCCGAAGAGAACGTCCTACGTATTGACATCTAGTACTACGACATCCCCAAGCGCATGCACTTTACCCAGCCGGAAAGCGACATTGGTCATTCTCCCCACAGTTTTGATATTTTCCTCATCTGCCAAAACAAGCTCATCTTTCTTGGTGAGCATGATCAGATCGTTTTTCCTACCTGCCCTTTCGACCACTCTCAGTGAAATTGCCAACACCGCTGCTCCCGAGTCTATAATTGCGTTGTAAGGAATTCCCCAAATTTCTATATCGCATTCTGCAGGTTTTCATGGAATTGGTTTAATCCGTAGGAAATGATCGTCTTTTTGAATTAAACCCACACATATTGGATCCGGAGTGCCTGTTGGGTTTTGTTTTGGCGCGGGGCCTCTGGCTTTTGCATTTGGTGTTCGGGCGAGGGTGAATCTCTTTCGGTTTGCCTTGCAATGTTGTAGCATTCGCTCATTGGCTTGCTCGGAGATCGAGAGTAGATGACCGATCGGAAGGGGGATCCGATGGTCCAGGGCTCGGATGATATTTAATACATCAATCTCTCCAGTGACGAAGGTGGGTCCTCCCGACTCCATTTCTCCTAGAGACGGTCGCCACTCCGCCACCTCTTTCGGTTCTGGCGCGGGTCTGATTGTTCCGATCATTCCAAGCCCAGGGTATCCCAGCGATACGTACTGATCTAGCGGGATAAGCTCGGCGGCCTCTTCCGTGGTGGCCAGGGCACTTCCCCCACCCTCTACTTCTTCCATCAAAGCTCCGACTCGTCAAGGTCTGTTGGCGATGGGAGCCGCAGCCATAGGTGCGACCCCGATCTGCTGTTGTGAGGGTCGGTGGGGGCAATCGCGGGCTAGGTGTCCTGGCTGATGACAGGCATAACAGACATTCAGATTATTTGCGACTCCTCCGAGCACAGGTGCTGGAGCTAATCCTTGCTGCATCGGAGATGCGCGTACCGCAATGGGCCGCATGTTCCTCATCATGACTTCCAACCGAGCATTGTGCTCTCGCTGCTCCTTTTTGCTTTCCTGGATCAAACTAATCAAGGTTTCGGTTAGTTCGAAAATGGTCGCCGATTCGTTCGTTCGTGCGGGAGCCTCAACTGGTGGTGCGGGTAGCGCCCTGACG